AGGCCAGCACAAGATTGCTTGCCATTGCCGAGCTCCTGAGTGCAGGAAGTGGATAAACTGAGCTAAACATCTAAACCATTCCTCACTTGGCCGAGTGAGGGGGGGGGACATAACTCCACCCCTCCACACTGAAGGCGTTTTAACAAAAGAGAAGGGTTAAAGGTTAGTTCATCAGGATCATGGGGTGGAAAAGAAAAAAATCCAACACGGTAGCAGGATGTGACTCGTGCCATATGTAGAAGAGGCTTTAGTGGAAACGCAGAGCCTCCATCTGTCTGTATGTATCTGCTAGTTTATCTGTGGTGTACATGGGGGGGTGCAGAATCCACCAGCGAATGAGAAAGCACTGTGCAGGGTGCGGCCTTACTGCTAACTAAGGGCAGGCCCTTTTGTTATATAATAATGTATGCCGTTAGACTAAATGTAGACATCACTGAATGAGGAATGTACAGCAATGAATACCGTGAAGGGAATATTAACTTGCACTAAAAAAAAAATAAAAAAAAGGAGAAAAAAAAAACGAAACAAAAAAAGAAAAGAAACAAAAACATACACACAGAAAAACGTTTAAATACTTGATTCCATGAGTCAGCTGTATCATAGGTCTCCGTCATGTGATTTGTGTGGATTTTGAGAGGTTTTTTTTTTTTTGTATTTATTACTGAGTGAGTGAATTTTATTCTCCAAAATGACGAGATTGAGGTAAAGAAGGCTATTGTTTCTGAAGATTGAAGAAGACATGCTGTTACTTTTGTACAAATGTATATAAAGAAAACTATAGGAATAACCGACCAAATACTACCTTAACCTTCTTGATGTTTGGGTGTTTTTAAAACTGTTTTTGTTTTTATTTGTCATTGAAATTTATTTAAGATGGACGTTATTTCAGTTTGAGAGTATATATTATGATTATTCTGTACAGAATTTGTAAAATAACCACAATAATTCACAAAGTATTTTTGTTGTATTAAAAGTAAGGTATTGTAGCGTAGTGATTTTTTTTTTTTTTGTGACTTACACATACTTTGACCACTCGAAAGAAATATTTTTGTTGACAAACGAGTTATTGGTTACAGAATTTATAAAAACAAGAGACTTCAGAGAGTAAGATCATTGTGATCTGTCTGCTGTTAATCAGGTCCGATTTTAAAGAACTGTGAATTAGGAGTTAACCCCCACCCACCCATCCCCAGCAAAAAAGAAAAAAACAAAAAAAAAAACAGCTTTTTAACTTTTTATCATGAATAAAAGCAGCAAAGTGTTTTTACTTTACATTTTGGGGGGGAAAAGGTGCAAACATCTAATCTTATAATGTAGATGAACCAGTGTGTGACAGAGAGAATTGTATGCGGAACAGAAGGTTGTTCTGCCTTCTCCTGGGACAGAAACAGCGTTCTGCTTAATCAGAAATATTTCTTATATACTGACACTTCACAAGTCACAGGCTTAGAAACAGACGAGTTTTTGCGTGCACAATTTCAAGTCGACTGTAAAATTTTGCAGACAGTCTTAGAACTTGTAATGTATATGGCATGTATTTTTTTAACTTTCTGAAAACTCAATTGTATATATTTTCTCAATGAATGGTTGTAACAAAATTGTTTCTTGGATATTTTTCTTCTCTTGTATGATACGACATCCTGCCAGTGTGTTTGTGCTACATTTTCTTGGTCGTGTAAAGTAGTTGAGAATTTCTTCATTTTGTTTTTTTTTTTCCTTCTTTTATTGTCGTTTATTTTTGAAAATGCCTTTTGAAGTGTACAGAGTATGAGGTTTGGATTTTGTGGAATTGAATTTAGAAACATTTACAAAAATAAACTATTTTACATGTTATGGGTTGTGTATCTTGTTTCACAAGTGGTTAATTTTTCAGGATAAATTGAATAAATATGTTTCCCCATTAGAATAAAAATAACAAAATTACTAAAAAAAAAAAAGGCTCATGAACAAGGTTTTGAAAAATCTTTACCTGCAAGTCAATATTCATTAAAATAAGCCACTTTGGCTCACACCACCCACTGGAACACAAACTTTCAGACATCAGAATCTTACAACAGGGAAACACAAAGAACAGAAACACATTAAAGATGCTCTCCAAACCTGTCCCCAAACTGGGCATTTGTCATATCAGCAAGGAAATTCAAAAGACACGCAGCAGAACTTAACAGCAAGAAGATTAAACGTAAAAACAATGCCATCCCATATGTGCCTGGATTCTCTGAAAAACTTTGGAGTATTTCCTCCAAACACAAAATCCCAGTACATTTCAAACCAAACAACACCCTTAGACAGAGACTAGTGCATCCTAAAGACAAAACCCCCAGACCAAATATCAGAGTGGTGTATGCAGTTCAATGCAATGAGGCACTGAGGACCAGAACGTTCACATTTTAGATAAAGAAGTCAGGTGGTTTGAAAGGTTTGTGAAGGAAGCCATTTATTTTAAGAAAGAAAAACCAGCCTTAAACAGAGGCACTGGACTCAGTTTCAGCTCTAAAAAACCTACAACCCAGCGATACAGTGGATTCCTTCCTAATACCACCTCAACCCCCATCGTTATGCAGGGGAACAAAATATCTCACCAGGTCAGCCAGACCAACAATGACCTTTAATGAGGAATGGGCCAATATTGAGTGTAGCAGGCCAGTAACTACCTCAAAAACTCCCATTATTAAGGGGTGGAGCGGTTTTTTTCAGTTTCAATGTTCATTTTTTCGGAGCCATTTCAAGGCTTTTGTTGGGCTACTCTATCAAAGCCTGGAACTCAACTGTAATCAAGACATTTTGAATTGAGAAAGCTTCCTGGATGGGAAGTGAAACGTCTTCAAACTTGGAAAACAATGTCTGGTGGTTTGTTTTTTAACTTTTAAGTTTTTGGAATGACAATGACCTGGATGACTGAGAATCTCCACCAGCATATTAAAATAAGTGTTTCTTTTTTGTTGTTGTTTTTTCTTCAATTGCGCAGGTAAGCGAGAAAAAAAACTACTAAATTCTCTTATTTCAAGTGCATAATATCTGATTTTCTTAAAGGTAAAAATACCCCTTCTATATACGGGATATAGAGGTCAAACTGCACACAGATGGGGTTTGTTCTTCATTAACTGGGTGACGGCTGAAGGATCTTATTTAGAGCTGTAATTCTGAAGGGGTTGAGATGCAGGAAACACTTTTTTTTATTTATAAAAATGAATTTACAACCTTGAGTCTTATTCCTTTCCACCCAACAATTTTGCAATAATTACTTTCCATATCATATATCCAGTTAGATTACGGTCGTCATTTTTTTATAAAAAAGTGAAAAGTTTAATCATTGCTGGACTGTTTTTTTTTTTTTTCTAATTCAGACATAAAAACAAGTTGAAATGTCGAACTAAAAGCTGGACTGTGAACCAAATAAAATCTAGAAGTCTGCTTGCCTTAAATGATATCTGCAGAGATCTTTTTTCTTATGTCCAGAGAACTTTTTAAGAATACTGCAATTATATATTTGGTTTAAAAGGAAAACCATCATAAGCAAGAAATTACTCAAATCACTCAGTGACAAAGTCATAGGCTCAAAAGCAGTATTTAACAGGAAGTTACAATCTATTTAATCATCCAGTGACAAATATATCATCTTTGCAGGCTCCTAAGTTTGATGTAAGTTAAAGTGAAGTGTTCATCCTATTATTTAGGGGAAACCTGGCCTCACAGGTAGACAGAGCCAAGCAGCGGTTACGATTGAGTGACAAACCAGGAGGAGAGTTTACAGCTAGAAACTGTATTTACAAAATCCTGTCAGATGAGAAGAATAAGAAGGTTTGATATATCAAATAAATGTGAAGCCTTTGTTCGGCCAATAACAGGATGGCTAAACTGAACTCATCTGGAATGAAAGATTAATGAGCTGAGCTGTAAGGTGAGTATAAACCTGACTTAGATGCACTAGTTCTGCCACTAGGAATGGGTCGGATTCCAGAAAACTATTGTGAGAAACTTAACATGTTGAAATTCTTAGAAAGTGTATATAACCATCAGAATAAAAGGAACAAACAGTTTCTGACCTTTAGCAAATAGCGGAAATGTTGGTAATCCTAACTGACTTAAATAATAAATGGGGAAAATCTGATTTAAGGTGTGACATCTACATTTTAAAAACTGACCTCATACAATATATGCTGCAGAAATATGAACAAGAGGAAAAACCAGGCCTGCAGGAGTTAAAGACATCAAGGATGGCAACGTCATGACGTCCTCTCAGGAGGAAATTTATTATCTGTGTGTCCTCCAATAGCTTATCGCAGTGGAAGGACAGAGGCACAAAGAAATGTAGAAATCTATTACAGTTCTCACAGAAAGACAGAGAAATAAGGACAAAAACATCTCTGACTCAACTAAAAGAGTCCAGAGGTGTAAAATCACTTTAGTCTGCTCAGTAAAAACCAGCCGTTTTTATTCTGATATACCTTTGTACGAACAGCTATGTGCTTCTCTGAGCAGTGAAACGGTTAATTTATTGATCCTATTACTAATAAGTAAACCATTTTATATTTTGTTTGTATGTCTATAAACCTGTGAGCCATACCTCCATAAGTGGGGGTTCCTACTATGTGGTAGAATATGGAAAAGTAAAAAAAAAAGAATACAGATAATACAACACATCACATGTTTTTATTTAAATCATTTGCATAGATTTTTTTTTTTTTTGGCTTGAGACATGCAAATGTTAACTCATTAAAAGAGGACAACAATACAAGAAGGTACATCAATTTAAAAAACCAGAATAAAACATTAAATCCAATGTGAGGCACTTTAAAACATGGCAACTACCCCAAACACCAGGAAGGAGATTTGAGCCAAAACAGAGCACTGAACATTTGTTTACACACCATCTGGCTTTATCTTAAACAAACAAAAACAGGCAAATATGTTTCCAGTGTAGTCAAAAATGTAAAAAAAAAAAGAAGAAAGAATTAAGTTTGAATTGAACATGTGGATTTCTGTTAACACTTTTATATACCGGTAACACAAATAGTTTAACTCTTCCACTTTTGAATGAGTAAATACTAGTAGAGAAAACTAGCTTGTTTCTTAATGAAAAACTTCAAGTGTGACAAATGCTTTTCACCCTGAAGGCCCAGCAGCATTCAGAAGGTTCTACAAAGCAAAGAGAAAAATAGAGATGGTTAACATTTTGTAATCAATATAGATAAAATGAAGATTTACACAACAGGTGGGACCAATATTAAGGCAAATACCAAGGAAATGAAGGCTAAGATGGTTTAGAAATAAAAGAATAAATCAAAATACAGAAATATTTGCTGGAGCTTACAACAAGCTGGAAGTGTGTTGAAGTCTCGATCATTGTGTCGATGTAAGGATGCTGAGAAATAATGGAGAAGGGGACTGGTTCATCAGGCTGATATCCCAGTTCACTGAACGCTTTCTCCAGATTCTAACAGGAGGCAGAGACACAGAGGATCAGCAGGGCAGAAAGTTTCAACATTAAAGATCATAAACAGGACTAGTTTTGGACAAAGAGCGAGCAAAAAAGTTTTCTCATAACCACGGAAACAATCAGTAAGTATCGTCTCATTGGAATGGCAATAACAATCAATACACAGGGTGTCTGGGATAGTTGAAAAATCAAGCCATTTCAGCTTCAATTTCAGGATGGACATTCTGCAGGACATAGTAGAAGTAACTCAGGAGACTTTGGACTTCATTTCATTTAATATTATTTATTCATTTACACTTCGGTCTCATTTACCCTCGAAATGACAGTTAGAGAAGAATCTAACCATAGTGTTAAAAGTATTTCTGCATTATTTACAGAACCATAATTAATAAGAAACTAGAGGTGATAAATAACGTCTACAGCTCACTGCCTATTCCCAATAAATACAATTTAATTAATTCTTAAATAAACTGTAATAAAAAAAAACTCCTGCTATGGTTCTTGGTCATTTTTTTCTAAATGTAGTTTTTGAAATTCCAAAATGAAATACCAGTTTATGTTCTTCCTGACTCAAGCACCCTGGAGGAAGTGGGGTGCTGCCCTCCATCTTGGTGACTTTGTGGCAGGTGACATCGAGGAAAACAGAAATGGGAACTTCCTGGTCCTTCAATAAGCTGCTGGATGACAGCAGACCTTCCTCTTCTTTGTAGTCCTCAGTAAACGTGAAGGATGGGAGCTCTGGGGTTTCATCTGTGCTAGGTAGGGGCTAAAACATGCAACTTAACATGAAATTCGCTTGCACAATCATTTTTGAGAGAAAGTAACATGCAGAGAACAGAAAACCTGGATTAATTTTTCTTTACTGACCTTTATGAGGAAGCTCTTTGAAGGCTGCTGGATATGTTGTCCCAACACGACACTAAGGGCTCTGATGAACCCCTTTCTGGGGTCAGGGTCGGCTGCAAAGTACTTGAGCATGGACACATAATTCAGCCGTGGAGGAGAGGAGGAAGGGTCTGCAAACAGCTGGAAGAAGAACTGGGAGAGAAAAACAGACGTAAATATCAGTTTCTGTTAGTTTTAATGCAAACAAAAAACAGAAATAAAATTTCACAAAGTTTGCTTAGTGGGAAATAATAAAAACAAAATGTGAGAGAGTCTCATTACCTAAAAGAAAGAGACATTACTCACATATATTTAGGACATTTTCAGTTCTAAATTTCTGCCTCATGTTGGGTTTGGCGTGCAGGCTAAAGGGTTTAATCCTTCTGTATGTTTTCTGTGTCTTTGGTTTAGTCTGTGACAAACTGTATGGTTCTCCCTCTTCTTACTACTCATTTATAAATCTGCAATAAACTATTACATACAGGTGGAGGATTTATACCAACTGGAAAACTTACTTGTCCTGATTTTTCAAATTCTAAATAAAAAAATATATATATTATTGAGTTATTTAGAATTATATGTTGGTCTGTAAAATAAAACCCCAATAAAAACAGTCAATTTTGGTCTGGAATTAGTTAAAATATAACAAAATGTAAAGTTTAAGGTTACTTTCTTGTTGTGTGTAACTCAAACTTCCTTTTAAACTGTAAATAATGAAGCTGAATCGCGGTCTGTTACCTTACGCAGGTCTGCTAGACGGTTGTAGGGTAAAGGCTCGGACGGGTCCTGAGGAACATCCTGGTCACTCTCACTGGAAAACCACAACTCTGTCTGTTGGCATGGAAAATACATTTTCAGCAACCTATACAACTAATATCAGTTAAATCACAGCCTTATTTTCTGTACAATAAACTCATAGAACTATATGATGCTCTAGGTAAACTAAAGTATAGATCCTTACCTGTAGATACTGGCCCTCGTTTATATATCCGGTGTTATCAGCATCTGCTTCCTTGAATTTTTGCAACAAATCCAGCAGCTGTGTAAGAGAGGGAAGTGGCCAGGGGAGAGCAGCACTGAGCAGAAAGCGGCGCCAGTCTATCAGCTCGTATTCATCAGTTAGCAAAGCCACCATCTCTGAGAGCTGAGGGCAGGAGATACAGTAGAATATGGAATTTATTTCTATGTATTGTCCATTGAAAAGAAATGTGTTTGGTCTTTTATTAACATTCCTGTGTGCTCCAAGGACATGTGTATATGTACAGCATGTACAGCATGACTCACTGGTGTGAACCTGCTGAATACCTGAGTTTGATTCATATCTGTCCATGCTTCAGGAACCCTGTTTCTGCGTAGGCTGTTATAAACCAGATCTTCAAGAAAAGCAATGAAATCAAAACTGGACATGAGGCCTAAAAGACAGAAAGAGGGGAAATGATTTTGGGTGATATTTAATAATACATTTAGAGACAGCTCAAATGGTCTGTGGTGCACATAATCACCTGATGGAGCAATGTGGGACAGGTGATAGTGGAGCGATTCCAACTGAGTCACTGTCATAATGAACCGATTTGGTTTCTCCACAGGAGCAGGATGGGGGGGAGGAGGTGGATCTGGATACAACTTATAATCTCCATTCAGATAGAACTCACAGTCCTCCTATGGTAAAGGAGATGAAAACTGTTCTCAGACGCTACAGTTGATCACTACAGTTTAAAAGGTTCACTGAAAGGCTTTACTGACCAACACCAGCTCATACTGCAGCTTAGCACCAGCCTCTATGTGGTAACGGACCAGTTCTGATAGCTGATCCATGCTGAAGACAGACAAATGAAAATGTCTAGAGTCTCTTTGCTGCACAATGTGTGTCTACAGCTCTGTATAGCCTGACCACTGAGCATTTTCACATTTTTGTAACAACCACAAGCTTGATTGCATTTTAATGGGATTTAATGGGACAGAGCAACACAAAGCAAAAAAAAAATATCATTGGGTGGAAGAAACATATAAAAAAGAAAAAAATACACAATTCAAAAACCATTTGCAGTATTTAAGAGTATACCTCTTAATGGCGCGTATTGTCTGTCTCATTAAGTTTGAAACTAATCCAATATCTTTGCTGTCATTTCCTGTTTCTCCACAAAATATCATAACTTTGTTTTGGCAAAGCACTAACTTTGTTCATTTTGTCAAGGACAGTCCATCTGACAATGCTACACGTTAAAACAATGCTAGTTTGGAATGAATTTGGCTCTTCTTAGAGACAAAACTAATCAGTTCATCAACACACAACCAACCCAAGAAGAGCATGTTTTCTAATGGGAACCAGTCGACTGGTCCCCACAATGTAACATATTGCATGTAGTTGTTACCACATGGTTAAAAACACCTGCCACACATAAAACTATTAACAGCAGATACATATGATCAAAATTAAATGTTATTCCAAACTATAGTAAAACAGGCTGTTTTTAATCTACTTTGCATTAAACCTTAATCTACAAACCCATCTATTGTGAAAACACAGCATGATGCTACCACTACCCTGCTTCTGCATGTGCAGAGTGAGTTTCTATATGTTCTGCATGTAGACCAAAAACCAGTTTAGGGTTTATCAGATCACAGCACCTCGTTCCAAATGTTTGCTATATCATCTCAGTGGTTTGTGAACACCAGGAAAAGAATTCTGTATTTCTTCTGGCCAGATTGACGGAGATCATAAATATCCTCAATTTATGTCCGGTCAAACTGACCATATGCGGGTTTGGCAATACCACTGAGAAGGCTTTAAGAAGTATGGTTACTATAAATAGAAAGCTGTTGGGCACAGATTTGTTCAGCCTAGCAAAAATGAACCTGGAAAAATGGAGGAAGGCAAAGATTTTATCAGAAAGTTGAGGTGCTTGTTTTAGATAAAAGTATTGGCTTCTTCTAAGTCCAACTTAAGAAAACCCTAATACCCTTTGTTGCTGTTTAGCTCATTGTATATGCTGATGTATGTTGTTGTCATTTAAGTTAAGTGCCTGATGACAATACTGCAAACTAATTTCCAAACAGAGAACCAACATCATAAATTATAGGCTGATTCCTTCCCTACCAGATGTTGATCTATGCAGTGCCATCTCGGTCACCATGGCCTCATTGGCTGCTTCTATGTATGATCACTACCTTTGTTGCTTTATATTGCTATATCTAACTCTACAGACCCAAAACAAATCTGCCACTTGTGTCTGCGATGTAATAGAGTTGGATAAATACCCACAGCAAACCATATGAGAACAGGTGATTATAAAAATCCTACCACTTCCTCTCTGATAGGTAGCGGTCTTGAAGCCCCTTCTCCATTATGCTGAAGGTCTCTTGCAGTTTGCTTAACAGGGAGTCGATCATCATCAGTCCGTGGGCTTTCACAAGCTCAAGGCGAACCTTGACTGATTTTTCTATAAACCAAACAAATGAAAGGAGGAAAGAGTTCTGTTAAACATTCACAAATTAAATTAATTTTATCTTGGTGAATAAGAGGAAATGCATACATTAACATGAAAAAGTACAACGCACCCCATGGTAATGTAATTACTGAACTATAAATGAGTAGCACAGATGCTGTAAATGTATTATATAGTTAGTGTTAATGTACGTACCCTCATGAGTCTGAGCAGTTTTGTATTCCTTACGTATTTTCTCTCTCATTTCTTGTTCATGAGTGTTTTCTGTAGTTTCTGGAGGCTCCTTTAACTTATCCTCTGGTCAAGGGGGAGAGAAATATGCAAGGTTAAATCCTTCCAAAGGAGGCCTGATGAAAACGTCATATAGCTCTGCTGTAGGTTATTAAACATTATGCCTGTTTGCTTTTTTGGTGGACGCTTTTTCTTTTTAGGCTTTACTGCACTTGAAGGTTTCTCCTTTTTCTCTGTCTCTGCTGCCGACACCTACATAATGAAAGACCGGCATAAGTCAAAATTAAAAAAGAAGACAATATATGGTATACAGAACAATTATAATACTCTTCAGGCTCACACAAGCATAAAATGGGCCTTACCATTTGGCTGATGGCCTGTAAAGCCTGCATGTGGTCATTGTAAAATTTCATCTGGAAAGACTTGAAGAAAAAACAGAAGGAATCACTACCGACTGATTATGGATCTGAATAAGCTGGAATATTAAAACTGACCTTTATGAGTTTTGATGGAAACTGGTCTTCCATCATAGAGGCTTCATTTTTTGATTTAGGGCACCTATAAAATAAAAAACTATGAATTGAATCAGTTTACATAAACCATTAGAAACATTTGAAAGAATTTACTGTTATGTATTCATTTCTAAAACTAGTAGGATTTTAATGAGGTTCAAAGGTTTTAATGTCTTTCATTTTTGCATTTCCTCCTGTTAATGCTTTTTTACTAAACATATTTTATTGATATTCAGATATTGGTATTTTCATTTAGGAGCTTCTTATTATCAGGAAGTGGCTAGAATATGATACAGCTCATTTTACCCTTGCACCACTGGAAGGTAAGTGTCTGAACACCACAGATTCTACATTTGATTCAGATTTGAGCTTTGACTAGGCCATTCCAACCCAGGAATATTTTAATAACCAGATATATGTTTAGGGCTTAGAAGGTTTATCTTCTGCCCCAGCCTGAAGTCTTTTGCTGCCTCCTTCAGCAGAGGCACCAATCCTGGTCATCGGGAACCACTGAATCATTCTGTATTTAGTGAGCCTCTTTCCACATAAACTGAACGGCTTCCCTTTCCCTACTGGAAAGGAATACACAGCATGATACTGCCACCATTTATGCTCCAGATCAACAATACATTCTTTCTCTTCAACAGCTCCATGTCTCACCTCTCTGCTGGGTCCCTCGATCTACATGCAGCTGTTTGCTCTCTATGTTCACTACTGATTTCACTGGACCTTATTAAGTTAGCATTGGCAATAAATGCACTCTGCAGCTTGTTAACTTTTCATATAACATTTACCATATAAAATCCCAATACAGTGAAGGTTTTGGTAATAACATATAAAGCTCCACAGGAGTGTACACTTTTGCGCTAAAGTTCTTACGTGGCTTTCTGATATTTAGGTATTTTCAGCAGAGAGATTTTGTCGAATTTGGGGACTAGAGTCAGCGGTTCTTGTCTTTGCATGCTCCCGTAGTAGACCTTAAGGGTGCAGAGTGTTTTATGGAAACGGCTTAGCTCTTCCTGTACAAAACAAAGCAAGCAAAAGGTGAGATGGGCAAAAACAGTCGCTCAGCCAAACAGTTACACAGATTTTGGCAAGTTACCTGTATTATCATAGAGTGGTTGTTGACCAGACAAGTGACCTGCATCTCCACCCACTGAGGACACATGACAGCCTTCTTCTCTTGCTCATCTTCTTCTCTACGTTTGTCAATTAAATCCAACAGACATTCCTGCAATTTCTGGATGCATATAAGATCGACTCAGTCTGCCACTTTGGCATGACGGTGCAGTATGTGACAAAGTACACCTACATCCATCCTCAAATGAAGCTCTTCTTTGGTCTCCTCATCTTCTCTCATATCGTCTGGTATGCTGTTGAAGTCCTTCTGCCATTGTAGAATTAACATCTGCCTTAAGTCGGGGCGACCCAGGAAATGGTTGAATCTTTTTCTAAACAGTTAACACAGTTTTACAATAAAAGTGAAGACATTTACGTTAACAGTGAAATATGACAGACAAAAAACTGATTATATTCACTTTAACAATCCCTCTGAACCTAGAGGAAAAGATAACCATTTTATTTATTTAAATTTCTAGAGAAGAGGGTACAAATGTGCATATTGCTGACTGGAAGAAAGCCAAAGCTGTTTGGTTTAACAACAATTGCTTTTTCAACCTTAAAAGAAAAAAAAGAAGAGGTGGAAAAAATCTCCTACAAGTAGGGTTCAGAGGTAAAACCAAGAAACCTAAAGTCTGACATATTACCTGATGGCGAAAAGGTGATGATCAATAAGAGAGAGCTGTAGACGCAGCCTCTGCATCACTTGCTTTATGTTGTTTGCATAAGACTGACAGCCTTGGTACCAGTCTGAATACAGCTTAACTGCTACATCCTGGAGAAAGATGATACAGGATAAAATATATTTTTTAACAAAAACTGAAAACATAAAGGAAACAGCAGACATGTCAAGGAGAAGGTTGTGAACAAGTTCAAATCAGGATTAGTTTAAAAACATTCCTAGCTTTGAAAGTCTTGCAAACAACAGTTCAATCAACTGATTACAAAGAGAGGCTACACATAAAAAACTAGGAGCTTTCCCAAAAGGCATTAAAATGAAGACAAACATGACATCAGTAAAGAAGCAGTATATCCTACTGGAAGCAGTGGTTCATTTACGTAGAGCGGACTCTCTGAGCCTGATTCAGGTCGGACCATGTTTCCCTCATCAGACGCAGCATTAGAAACAGAGGAAGGGGACAGGTTGGCAGGATGCTCTGTTCATCACACAAAAAAAGCACAAATTACCTTTAAAATAACAATACTGAGGTGGGATTCTAAAAAAGCTGATCATTCATGTCATAATGTGTTTAGATCAAAAGTAAAATCTCAATTTTCCCTTATTATTGCTAGCGCAGGATTCTACAGAACTCCTTCTTGAGTCCAGAGTATTTGTGTCTAATAATGCATCTTTAACTGGAGGATCAACAGGAGCTTATGAGGGAATGCTTAACAAGGAGGTGGAAAAAATACCATTTGTTCTCAGTAAAACATGTCCGCAAATGCATCTTTTTTTACTTAAATAACCATAACCTTATTTCTATCTAAAAAAATTATTTTTCTTCAAAATAAATCATTCAAAAATCTCTATCATCATTATTATTATTGAGAATTGTCAAATTAACTGTTATTCATTAATATGAACATGGCAACAAAGGACACCTTCATCTTGTCTTTCAATAACTTGCTGCAAAACAGACTCCACTGATCTGTAAAGCTCCTCCTCCTCCACATCAGCGTTGAGGCAAATTAAAATGTTTTGCTCATCGCCAAACCATGCCTCCACTTCTGGCCAGGCATCTGAGAAAGCTGCAATCCTTTAGGAGAAAAATAAAAGTTAAAAGCCTCATGCAGGTGAAGGATTTAATGCGGCTCTATTCCTGTCGGATTACTTTATTATTACCGGTACCTGTGAGGAATCTGTGCACGATACATAACGTCTTCTTCCTCTTGGGAGGCTGTGGCAGCATCTGGATCTTAAGATGGTTCAGGTAGAATATTACCATATGGACACCAAAAATACACCTCACCTACTGTACTTCATGATACATCATAGCATCATACCCCCATGGCTGTGTGCCCGTCTAACCACACACTCATCAGGTATATCCAGCAAGAGAGCCAGGTCCAGAACAGGTGAAGTTGGAGCTGGTGGAGGTTTAGATAAGTATGGATAGGCATCAGGTTCTGCTGTGTTGTTTACAAAGTCCTCTTCTTCATCCACGGTCCCTCCCAAAGCTTTCTCCAGCATACGGGCCTGAGTTACATTATTTGGAAAGCCATCCAGGATCCAACCTGACTGAGCTGGAACTTGACTAATAAGAAGAAATCACCTGTGTCAGTTTTTTCATTACTTGAGAGGTTAATGTTGTTTAGAATCAATAAGCTCACTTTTCTGCAGTCAGTAAAAAGTCCATTGATAACACACAATATGACAGCTTGGCTGACTAAATCCTAATAAGATGTATTTAATACATTACAGTACATGATTACCTGATTGCTTTGACTAAAATCTTCACAATCAACTCATTTGGAACGGCGTTTCCTTTTCTCATCTCCTTCAGATCTGCTGCTCCTAGCACTGCAAGTGAGGGCAGCTGAATAAACACAAAACAGAACCGAATTACTTGTGCTTCCTTAGAAACTGATGTTAGAACAGAAAATAAGGGTTAGAATTCATTATGTAAATTCTTGGAATTTTTTGAGTGTCTGTCAGTGAAATACTCTGAATGCCAGTGATTTCAATACAAATAAAAAAGTTGTATAAAAAAACTGAAAACTGAGATAGCAGAGTAGAAGTTCATTAACAGCATCCCTGAGCACTCACTGTGTAACTACATTCTCCTTTTTCTTCTTGTCTGTTCACATCTGAGGAGGTAAGAAAAAAAAAAAACATAAAATTTAAAGAAAATAAGAAGCTTCATAAAAAGGAAAAATTATTTTAATACAGACTTCACAAATGTAGTCATGCCCCTTTAACCTATGCATATCTTAGTTTCTAAGTAGTGTTACACCGATTCTGATACCAGTACCGGGCGGGGTCACGATCCAGCACTAAAATGGTGATATTGGTATTGGTGAGTGCTGACTAATGGTGCACCGATATCATTTTGAGAGCCAAAAGACAACTATTGTCACCAATTCCAGGTAGGCAATAAAAAGTTCTACTAGATTCACTTTGTTTTAGTTTTTTTTTCTGCTTCACAAAGGTAGGCAGCAGCTGGACAAAGCCATGATGGCAATTATTTTACATCCAAGTAGTATGCAGTTCCTCATATATATATATACACACACACATACACATAAATTTCAAAGAGATGGTATTGGTATTGTATCAGCCAAAACTGCACAGCCAGGTGTCAGGTATTGGGGACCAAAAAATGGCATGGGCGCAACACTATCTATAAGCCAGGAGTGGGGCCTGCTATCAGAGATGGCTTTGAGGCGGTTAGACTGTCTCAAAAATAGGAGTTTGCAGAGTTGGAGCTGCCAAGAATATAACTGAGAGAGAGCAGGATGGACAGGATTAGGAATAGAGATGCACCAATCCCATACTTGGATCAGATATTCGCTCTGATATTAACTAATTAGTATGGGATAAATGACACCGATCCAGCACTCATTTCTATTTTTAAGGATATCATACATAGCAATACCGGAACAGCGATCTAGTGACTTCAGTTTTAGGATTGGAACGCTCATTACATCATCGCACAGATGGCACACAGCAGCTAGTGATTTATATCTGTTATTTTTTTACCTTTTATGTAACAATGCTTATGTGAAGTAAGACACATTTACTCACATGGCAAAGTATACGCTTAATTCACTCACTGGTAATACTGGATTGAACTGTAAAGTGGGAATTGTTGTGAATTGGCACTATATAAATAAACAGAATTGAATTGGATATTGGCCTTATGCTCAGCTCATGTATAGGATAAGAGGAAAATGGATCGGTGCATCTCTGATTAGTAATGAGCAGGTGAAGTGCAGGAATGAACAGGTCAGAGGAAAAGCTGAGTATGGCCAGTTTAAAAAAAAAAGTAAAAAAAAAAACAATGACATCTGAAGACATTTAGTTGTACTGAATTTATGGGAAATAGAACAACGCTGGAAAGGGGTTTACTAAAAACAATGTAAAAAACATCTTCATAATGGCCCATCACTTAATTTTCAGTAGAATACATTTACATTTATTGTTTTAAGTGACAAAATGGTTAAAAAAAAAATACAAGGATATGAATACATTTACAAGGGACTGCACATAGAAAAAAACTGAATCATTAGTTTCAATAAACCACCTGATGTGGAGGTTATGTACAGCTGCTCATCACTCGTCTCGTCCTGTTGATTTGTGACCTATATTTATTAACAAAAAATAAAGTTTGTTATAAACTTTTTAGTGATATCAAGAAAAGTGTTTAGAGGTTAATCGATAGCAAGTTAAAAAGAACTGTAAAAGTGATCTTCCAGCATATTAACTGACCTCTTCTCCATCTTTAAAAGGCTTCAGAGCTTCTTCAATCAGTGTGTTAGTTGATAACACTCTGACGCCAAGTGCTAAAAAACAAGAGCAATCATATGAAAACACTGCATTTAAAGATTTTTAGTAAAGATGAAATCTAAAAAGGCAAAAACGCTTTAAATGTAGGAACATTTTTTTTCTCTAGCTCGGGTTATATAATGGAAATGTTACACCTTCAGCAATCTTGGCCAGACAGGTGGTTTTGCCTGAGCAAAACTTTCCCAGGATGCAGGCTTTGATACGGAATCGAGGAAATGAGGATGCAGACGATTCCACAATGGGAGGATGAGCAAGTGTTTGAAGTTGATGGACAACATGGGCCAAAGTGTTGTTGGGGCCTGGAGGTAATTTGGGGCCATGTCCATCTTTTGGCCACAACCATTCGCCGACCATATTCTTAAAAATAAAACAGATTCTTATATCTGACGAAAAACAAGCACAATGTCACACATGCTGTGCTTTTAAAGTATGCAGACAAATTTCTGACTTACAATGTATTCCTCATAATCCAGGTTGTTGAGTACCTCCAGTTTCTTAAGCTGTAAAGAGTCTAATGAAACAGAGAATCCAGGTTCTGGTTGAGAGGGGTTTCTTGGCTCATAAAAAGGAATACCTCTAAGGAACAACTCCTTCCACTCTTTATTCTTCTTATCCGTAGGGACACTGCAAACGACATAATAACAAAGGTCAGGTGGGAACTTTAAATTGTGGGAAGAATTGGATCATAGACCAAGACCAGAAAATAGCTTCAAGTTCATCAATTCCACAATAATAACAGCACAGAATATATCTAATAGCATCTGAATACTCATTCATCAATGCTTTAAGAAAATAAAAAAACATAATATCGTGAACATGATTTAAAGGTATAATGCAGGGTTTTCGCAAATCCTCCATTATAATCCTCTCCACTTTAAGCAAAAATGCACAAGCACAACCCTGTAACTGCACAGGGAGTGCCTATTAAATGCAGTTGCGTGCATGGATGAGCCCATTTCTCCTCGTGCAAACTCTGTTTAAAAGTTGCTGCTTGCATCACTCATACAAGCTTACGTTCCAAAAGAAGATTTGCAATTTTTCCTCTATCTCAGACTCATCACCAGTAAGTGAAAATGGGGACAAACACATAGGACAACCTTATATAAACATATCACCAGAATGATTGACAATTAGGAGGACCACTTATTTTGATGATCCAAAATAGAACATCTTCTGCTAAACCTTTAAAAAGGAACAAATCTTAACTAACTAAATGACCAATTTGCTTTATTAAAAGCAGGAAGTGCATCACTTTGAGCTGCTGCATTACTCTAGCTCAGAGGTCACCAAGGACCCTCAAGGACCACATGGGTCCCCCTCAGCATCTTCTGCAAACAGAACAACTCACCAGTGGACTGTTTGAAATTGTATTTTATGCTACTGCTCTTTTTTTTTTATCATTTATAGAGCATTTCATTATATCTATCTATCATTTAGAACATTTAAGCATTTATAGGGATTTCAAAATGGCAGTATCAAGTAAATTAGAAATGAAAAGAAACAACAGATATATGTTTGTTATCTATGAAGTATAGATGAACACTGAGTCTTCCAGTTCACAGTTCAGTATTAGTGGCCCGTCTTATGACTCAGTACCCATGAAGTAGCCCTAGGTCTTAAAAAGGTTGGTGACCTCTGCTCTAGCTTATTATAGCTGGAGAAACTTCTTGTCATTCAGAGTCTTTCTGTGGAGTAACTGGTCTATTCCTGATGGAGTATATGTTCATTGCTAATCACATTTCATTAAATCAAACAAACACCATAATGATCTCAATGTTTATTATGTTTATAAAAGTTAGCATGTTACGTACTTCCCTGTGAGCATGTGATATTCTCCAACTGTGGTTGCTAAGTCCACCATCTCTCCCAAAACATTCAAGCAGATGGCAAAATGCTCTCTGTGTCTGCTCTCAACACGCTCTGCACCCATCCTCTTACATAATTCCAGCTCCTTTTGGATTTCTTCTTCTCGAGCCAATTTAGCACACTGAGCCAGAACCTACACCAGACCCAGGCAGAAGCCAGGGATTAAAAGAGAAAGCAATTCAAAATCTTCCTGTTGCTGCTGGAACTAATTCAAAACAAGGAATTCAATCAAATCCCCATGAAACCTCCCCTAGAAAGAGTGAATTTTGCCCTCACCGCCTTCCTGACCAGAGCTTCTTGAAAGTCTTTTTCTCTTTGCTGCTGGTACTGCTGGTCTCTGAAACGGCGATTCTCAATAATCACCTCCTTTTCCCTACGTATCTGCATCAGGTATTTCACCAAACACTTCTCTCGCTGCGACTGACGTGTCATACACCGTACCAGTTGCTCGTCGAATTGTTCCTCCTGAAAAGAATAAATTAGTTAACTAATTTAGGTTAAAAAAAGTAGACAGTATAAGTGGAGGTAAGCGAGGATATCTCTATCTATCTGTATCTGTTGCTGTTAGGAACAAGTTTTACCAGCTGAGCTTGGAGAGCTTTCCCCTGCTCCACCAGAAATCGGTCTACTCTTTTTTGTCTCTCCTTTTGAGTCACAGCATCTTCCTTCATTCGCTGGCGGATCCTCTGTATATACTCTTTATTGGATTGTAACATCAGTTCATTGTTACTTTCAGAGACTCCACTGCCATGTTTGATGGCCCAAAGAGAGGTATCTACATGAGTGGGTTGATCGCTGTAACCAAAAACAATGAGTATGAAAGAGAAACGTCTACATAGACAGACACAACAATTTAAATAGAAGGGTATCAAATGAATACAGCATTGCCCTTCTTACCTTGGCAAGGAAGCAAAACCAGAAGTAACGGGCTTACGCTGTTTCTCCTCAAATTTAGCAATTTCTGCCTGGACCATCTGTCAAATCAAAGCAGTAGGAAAAGCAGAACAATTTCATTTATTGCCTTAGAGCGAATAAAATAAAAACAATGATGATGTAGGGATTTTTTATTTTGGTCAAACCTGTGTTTTCATTTCTTTGAGCTGCTGCTGCTTGATCTTTCTGCTGAGATTTAAACTGAAGGAAGATTTCATTAGCAGCTCTGTAGGGTCTTCAGTGGAGTCATCGTGCCTCTGATGACAGACCTGTGACATCTCCACATAATGAGCACAATATAATCAAGCATCTAGGGTTATATGTGTATTTATCTTGGTACTAATGTTGGTTATTTTCTATACTTTTTTACCTTTCTAACCTTTTCCATCGTTTTTAATTCTGGGATTTTAATTTGCTTCTTTTGCTTCACTTGTCGGCCTTGATCTGTACAGTGCTGAGCAATTTTTGGAAGATTCTGATCTGCACTGGGTTTGACCAGCGGAGGAAGGCGCTGTACAAAAAGAAATATCCTTTTTACACATTTACCTCGCAATTTCCAACATTTTTCTTATTTCAAATTAAGTCATACAAACAACTGACTTTTGGTAGAGAGTAAGACTTTTAAACATTTTGTCCACAAACACAAGCCTAAAAGCACTGGTAATGAAAATACTCACACATCTATTGAGTGTTCTTACAATGGAGGATGATCCATGCTCTTCTTTGTGCAGCTGAACCCTGGCTATGGGCTGCATCGCTGCTCGGCCGCCTCCTGGACTCTTCTTCCCTTTAAGCGCCACATAGAGCTGGTAAAGAAGGTTGGTGACAACATCCAGTTTCTCCTTCATCACGTCTTGAGCTATGTTGATATTATAGGAGACCCCCAGTAGCTTCAAACTTGGACGAAGTCGTGAGAAGTTATTGACTTTGGCGATGGAGGTGCTAAAACAAAAGATGTGATAAACTTTTAACATTTGCTGAACACTTTAAATGTGTTTTAAAAGCTTGGATTTAGCACTTAAAAATGATAAAATACCAAGAATGGTCAAACTTGGGCTGAATAATTCTACAGAGCGTTTTTTAATAAGTGCAGCCATCTTAGTAAAGGTCCTATGCACAAACCGCATTTTAGAGAATACTTAAGCATTGAAAAATAATTAAGTCCAGGTCTGACATGACCATTTTGGCTACAAAAAGTATTTTGTAACCTTTCATAAGCAGAATACATGTTTCACAGATTAGAAGTCACTTTCTAATCAATGTGCAACAATCCAATCTAGTTTGACAAGATTATTTATTTCAAAGTTTGCTGATAAAGATGTGATACAGTTTCTTTTACATATTTAAACTAACCTTTGAATGCTAAATTAGAATCTTTAAGGGGAAAAGGACAAACAGACTTATTATAAACAGGATCATGGAGATCAAGGAACATCAGACAGGTCAATGATAAAGTTGTGGAGAAGTGTTACATGGGGTCAGGCGATAAATCAGTACTCCAACTTTGACCATTACACAAAACAGCTTTGTGCAACATTCAGAAAGGGAAGGCTTTATGAAAAACTGCAAACCTGTCTATGTAAAGTGCAAAGTGTTTTGCTGACTAAAGCTATAACAAAAATATTTAATCAATTATTTAAACAAAAGAGAAAGATCTGAACTAAACTCAACTGAAATGCAAGGGAAAAAATAAATTAATGAGGGAAATAAATCCAATTATTTCTAATTCTAGTCATGGGAAAAGCTGAACTGAATTGAAAAAAAAAAAATAACACCATAAAACAACGTGACTAAGAAGAAAATAGTGCAGATGAAGTAGCTTCACAACAAATGTGGAGACACAGTAACCAGGAGAAATGCACAGAGACATAAAATACAAACAAATCAGATTAAAATGTGTGGTTTTCTAGGGAAAACATTCAAATAAGGAACATTTGAAGGTCCCTGTAAAACGACCGGCATCACCATTAAGGGAGGAAACTTACCCCTTTTTCAAAAACATGTTAAAATCCTCCAGCATCTGATATTTATGAAGAATCTCTCCAAACAGGTACCCATCGGAGAAATACTTGGCAAAGTTTCTGGGCTCTGTAAATGTAGAGAGAGCGACCAGGTATAAAACTGTCAAACAATGATATCCAAAGGAAATCTAAAGCAAATCATAAGCTAATCTACTGATGTGTCATCATTTAAACTACACACATACGTACATATACACACATATATAAATATATAATAATATATATATATATAT